GGGAAGAATCTCATACAAAAATGCAAATCCAGCGACCGAATCTGAAGCTCCTGGGAGCTGACGGGATTGTCAACAGGGCCGTAAAGACTGATGTACCCGATCTGATATCTGCACACGGTACCCTCAATACTGAGAAAGGCGTCACAGTACCCGGAGCCACACTTGCAGCTTCTTTCCGCCTTGGCCAGCCGTTTAAAGGCGAACCTGGGTTCGTGTGGTACATCGTTGGTGAGACGGGCGAATTGCGCGTCACTGCGCCAGGTCCTTACCTTATGTCTGGTGACTCTTATGGTGGCCCTATTTCGATCCAGCACCACAATTACGCGACTGATGAGGTGCGCGATTTGGGCTGGGACTGGCCAGAGTGGCAGAAAGAGTTGGGTCTTCGAGCGAGGAGCGTGGCGGAGGTGTATGAGAGGTATGCGGAATGGGTTGGAGGCGGGTTGGGGGACGTTGTCGAAGGGAGAGAGTGGCCGAGCGTGGTGGATGGAGTGGCGCTGATGAGGGAGTTTGATGATATTTACAAAGAGTTTGACAGGGTGTGAGGTGACTTAATTCATCGGGTCATGTATCGGAATCCAGACATGGTCTTTATCTGATAATGCACTGAGCGATCTAGCACGCACAAAGTATCATGAGATTCACGCATGATCATAAATTCCAGACGGCATTCAGCGATTATATGCCCTGTTCTCCTTTCGCAACCACCACCTCATTTCAAATTGTGTCGCTATCTGTTGTATGTCGTGCCAGCTGGTAGCTCTACCGGTGCCCTATCGGCAGGCACTTCCGATACAGGACTGACCGCATATCCGTATTTCTCAGTTGCCGGTCCCTGGGTATACGTCTGATTTGAGTCCATTTCACCAGGAGAGCCGGCTGGGTACGTGGGCGCGGTGTGCGAATTGGCGGGCTCATACGGATTTCGCTTGCTATTCTTCTTTCTGCGCCAGAACAGAAATCCAGCCAGACCGAGTAGAGCGAGTCCACCGACTATTCCACCGACCAGGCCGCCTATCGCGCCACCTGAGAGACCCGACGCGTTGTCCTCTGTCGCGATCGGTGAAGGGGGCGAGGCAGCCGTTGCCTGTGCTCCTCCAGAAGGCGAGGTGGTAGCGATGGGTTGTCCTCCGGATACGCTCGGGGTTGCTGACGACGCAGCCGCGGTGGTCGACGAAAGTGCTTGTAGAGCAGACAAGCCGATCGCGTAGGCAGGGGCTGAAGGGCTAGCCGATATGAGAGACTGCGCTGTTTCGTTTACGGCGGTCGCGTTGAGGGAAATGAGGGGGTTGTCTAGTTTACTCCAGCAGATGTTCGTCTGGTCTGCTGTTTCCGTGCACGTTTCGCTAGGTCTTGTCAGCTACATGCGCAACATCGAGTAAGGCGGCGTTGAGAGGTTTGCTCACCTTGACTTTAAGCAGCAAAAGGCATTAATGCCAGTCGAGCAACCTTGTTGACTGCCCGAGGGTGTATTCTTGTCTCCTCCATCGCAGTCTGAACTAGGTCCCCAGCATACCGCATCTGGACTCCCTGGTATGCAGCAATAGAACTTCTGCGTCCGACCATCGAAGGCACAGACCGATGGCGCGTCACATCCGAATGAAGACTTAGGACATGCCTTCAAATCCCCAATTCCTGTGTTGCCTGCGAAGAAAAACTCGGTGAAGGCGCCACGCACTGGCAGCGTGGTTGCGAGGAGCAGACAGACTGTCGACAACATGTCCCCGCGTGTTGGATTGAGCGGGTATTGAGTATGGGAGTGATTTGTGGAGTGCGACCGCAGGCGTGGAAGTGATCGTCTACAGCATTATGAGAGAACGGTGAGCCGTTCGGCGAATTTCCTTCGCTGTGGAGAGGTTAGGCCTCCCATCATCACAGTCGTGCCATAGCCACGATATGCCGTGCCCAAGAAGCCGGGGGCTGGCATCCAGACACGAATCACGTTGTGTTGGTGCCTTGGGTCGGCGACGTGAGAGGCAGTGTCGGCGTTATAGCCATAGCGCGACTTCACTGCTTATCGTTGCTGCATGTGGTCCATAGCTAGCTTTGAAGGCCCGGATCGCAAAATTCTACACGTAGGAAGAGGAACAAGGCGCATGCTTGGAGGTCGATGATCGAAAAAATGTACCAGTAACTGATTGGCAGAGAAGCTCACATCGAGGATGTGTAGCTTGTGGAAGCCGGCGGTTGCGACGAAAAGGCGTCCAAGCTACGGCGCGTGCGAACCGCGTGGTAGGTAATCTCGGCATCTTCCGAGTCATCCCACATGCGTCGCGAGCGCGCATTCCCCATCTCTTTCCCCACGTACCAACACAAACTTTGCCCACAAGCCACGTTCTTAAGACCCAAAGGTTAGAAAAGGATGGGTTAAGCCTTGTACATCAAAATACATCTGTACAGTAGATTTGCAGCCAGAAATCACATATTTTGGGCTGCCTTGGGAAGTCGCACATGTGGACACCACCTCTGATGCCATCTTTGGACACTCGCATGGTTCATACTAAGTTTCAAGGACCAAAAGTCAAGAGAGTAGAGGTGGAACGCAGTACCTTGATCATCGAGCACAACCCGCATGCTTGTCGGTTGGAACTGGTACCCAGGTACTTCAGGATGGTGCCACATCGCCGATACGTCACTCATGGCATTTCGCAAAATCAATATTCGCATGATGTCAACTTTGGGATTGTAACGCAAATAGAGTGCGCAGGAAAGATAATGCCGTGCTACCTAGGTATCGAGCCACCAGTTGTGGAATGCCTCACGACGCAGACGCCCGAAGTCTTGTGCATGAACAGGTGCCGCCTTCCCGTACGATTATCTCACCGTTTGTGCCAGCGCTGTACTCCTACCTAGGTATCATGAAGTATCATAAGGCGACCATGCAAATACGACAAGGGGTGTTCTTCTAGCAGCATAGCCTGCGTAGGGTAGTCGCTACCAGAATGTACTACAGTCCTACGTAAGTTCAGGAAATGAAGGGCAATATCCGACTAGGCGGACCTCCGCGGAGCTGTTGGCTGAGGTCACGGGAACGAGAACCGCCTGGGTATCTCGATCGTCACACTGTACCAAGAAGCCAGTATACTGACTGCTTCTATGGATAGCCTTATAATATTAATTCCACGTCAAGCCCTTCTCATGAGGGCGTAATGACTATTTCAACTCTGAACAATATGTCGCCCATGCGTGTGACTCCGAGATGGTGTGGTCATTGGAGTAGAGAATCGAAAGCCTTGATGGCGAACCGCGCAAGGCACCAAAAGCGAAGATTGACAGAACATTGGTAGCTAGTGGCGTTAATTTCGAACAATGAGGCCAGTGTTAACGTGGTCGAATGCTGAGCAGGTTGCTTCTAGAATTATCCTCCACACTGCAGTACTTCCAGACTGATACAAAATCGAGATAAGCGCCAGTATGCCAATGTCCTGCTTCGCGCCACTGTCGCTTCAAAGAGGATAGTAGAGTCGTCTGAGAACATCGCTAGACTCCTCCAAGGTATGACTGATGCAAAACCCGCACCTGTTTGGGAGAATTCTCAAATATGTTGGTCGGGTCAGACTCTGCGTTGCATATGACGGTCAAATTTTCTCTTGTTTGTGGATGTTTGGCCACGCCGCAGGAGAGGGTGGAGGGGCTGAGAGTGCAGTGTTGATGAGTACACAACACATCCAATTCGGAGGTCTATGCCGCGGGACGACGCGATAGTGATCCTGCCTGGCTTCTCGCGCCCGTTTTAGAACAGGCCGGTGTGGTATTCGATACATACCAGAAAGCCGATCTATAGGATAGAACCGATTGTGTTACCATACAGCATAGGCCCCACTGGGTATCGGATCACAATCTCGGCATTAGAGTGAGGGTTCTTCTAAACGAGCGCAGTCGCCGCGAAGGCGAGATATACGCTATTGCCATGGCCTAGGCACAGGCTGACACTGACAACTATGGCTGAGGATTGAAATACCCAGTCAGTGTCGTAGACCGAGGGGCCGGATGCATAGCCGATTCTGCTGGTTGCTTGGCAGGTTTCAAAGAGCGCTGAGTGCATGGATGTGGCTCGAAGACGGAGTGGCTCACCGACATCACGTTATTGATGTAGGATGGCGGAAAGTTCGATCTCTTGAACGATTTCGATGCCAAAACGCGCTAGCACGGCGACACGTGCTCGCGCTGCAGAGGATCGAAGATCCTGACGCGGCAAGTGATTGGCGGGACGGCAATAGCGCCGAAGTGGCGCCACGAAACCTCGATACGAAATTCCCCTTCGAGCCTTCCTCCACCCGCCAGATACCAGCTACTCGCGCTTCTTTCTGTGGCACTTTTCTGATACGCGTTTTTCACAGAGTCATGCAGAGGTCTATATAGACCGGAGCCTTGCAGTTGATCTTGCAGTAACAACGCGGCTGACGTCACGGTCTCAAAGGAATGGACCAAGGAGCTTCACGAAGTCCACCACCACTGCGTTCACTCCTACCTGCACCTGCCGGTGGAGTTCGCAGAGAATCTGTGGAGAGGCAAAAGGCTACACGTGTCAACGCTTGCGAGGCTTGCCGAGTTCGTAAGTCAAGAGCAAGTACATACATGCTGCGCCTTTGGTGCTTTTGCTGACCTACAAACAGTGCGACGGATTAAAGCCTAAATGCACTGCATGCGTGACGCGAGAGACTGAGTGTCGTCATGGCGAGACGGAATCACGGCAGTTCAAGCGTAGATACGAGCAGCTCAAAGAGAAGCGTACTGCCCAGGAAGAAGTATTCGATATGTTACAAAACCTACCGGAGAGGGACGCAGCCGGCATCTTTCGCCGCATTCGAGCCGGCGCAAATGCGGAGGCCGTGGTAAAGCATATTCAAGAAGGGAATATGGTCGCTGAGGCTTCTGATGTTCCGCAAGCGTCGTCGCGCTTTCACTTTCCGTTCCTGGATGAGATACCACCAAGCCTTCGGGACAGCGCTTACTTTCGATCACGGGTTTATGAAGTAATCGATGCATCTGACAGGGACATGGGTACTTCAGAGGCGCATCTTGCTCCGCAAGAGAGCAATTACTGGAGACCTTTGTCCTCGGCCAAGTTGGTTGACCCTCTACTTGAGGATGCACAACCGTCGCAATGGACTAGTGTTAGCTCCAACGATCGATTGCTGCGCAACATTCTCGAAAGTTACTTTGTCAATCAGTATCCAAGACAGTTCTTCTTCGTCAAGAATTATCTACTAGAAGACATGGTATCGAGAAGAGCTGAGTTCTGCTCTCCTCTACTCGTCAATGCACTTTTGGCCAAATCTTGTGTGAGTAAGTGTACACCTGTATCATGAATGGGGGTTCACTAACGTGCCATAGGTTAGTTCTCGACTGTTTGCCAACCAGACCAAGTTTTGGAATCCAGATAGCCTGCCATATCGATTCTTGGCTGAAGCAAAACGACTATGGGAACTAGAGGAGGAGCAGCCAAAGCTTACAACGATTCAAGCTGGCTGCCTCATTAACGCCACGATGAACGACTTTGGTCATGACAGGGTCGGGTTCTCTTACATGTTCAAAGCGCTCAGCATGGCACATCGAATGAGTCTCTTCACGCCTCGGTCATATGACAATAAACTTGAACACGCGAAATCGTTCACTGCTTGGGCCCTTTCCGCGTGGCTGTCGTAAGTACACTTGTACAATATCATTCCTCAGCTAACTTCTGTCAGATTACAGAGCTACTACTACTTCAAGCCACCGTGCCTCTTGGACATCCCGGCAGATCCGCTTCCTGACGTCGATGGTAGATCGGAGTGGTATGGCCAGATGTCATTGCGTTATCCACCAGACGAGCAGACCTACTCACCCGAATTCGCCCATAGTATGAAAGCACTGTGCGAGTTGCGGGTCATCCAGAATGAGATCGGTGTCATGTGCTTTAGTCGCTCCAAAGAGTCTAGGAAGATGCCTTGGGGTGCAGCTCTGCATATCCAGGCAAAGTTGGAAGCCTGGTATGGAGGCTTGCCTGCCCAACTGCAACCCCGCTGTATCGTGTACCCCACTCATCTGATGCTACAGTAAGTGGCCATGCCAGATGATCATGATATGAAAGCTAAGAGATTTGCAGTTGCGAGTACTATGCGGCTCTGGTAACTTTGTTCCGGTCGCAAATTTCGTCTGGGAATGATGGCGTCCAGCTGTTGACGCAGCATCAACGCAACGCAGCTGAGCAAATCGTTACCCATGCAAGCGTTCAACTCGAGAGTATCTTGCGCTTATACTACCTCCGCCATAGTTTCGAGGCTTACGACTCCACGCTTACCATCTTCCTGGCCCAGCTCGCCAACCTAACATTGGAGCCTCTTGAACAACTCGAACGAGATCCGGGCAACGCTCCCCCGGAAGTCAGCGAATCTCTCCTTTCGACACTCGTCTTATGCTTCGGTGGCTTATATGAGCAATCCAAAAGCGCCTACATCGCCGGTATCATGCTCATGATCATGAGAAAAAGACTGAGTGCCGACGTTCGCAACGCTGTCGGGCGTTATGTCTCGATCGAAGAGACGGATAGCGATACTGATCCAATGGACGAAACGGACCTAGGGTTTTCACATCCAATTCTTTCGGAACTCATACTGCCGGGTACAAGCCTCAGCGACGATCCAAAGTCGTGGAGATTGAAGAATTTGGTGGATGATCCTAGGAGGTATTCGGGGTAGCAACAGAATGGGATGCGATTAACGCGATGATATTGATATGCAGATATAATAGACGAGTGAGGAACGAAGCAGGCACTCTCGATACATTTTTCGGTCATATGACCACATTGTTCCCAGCAAAGCTCGACCTAAAAGCTGACCTCGGGAGTGTCCAGCCCTTTGACCACGTGATGTCTGTCTGGGGGTTCTTCGGTCCTGCACTTCAGGTAGAGTGCGCGATCAATGTTGTTAGGAAGATTCGACGCGTCGAGGCCGCAGAGCAGCAAAAGTAAATGCTCGCCACACGGCCAGATCGAAAGGATCGATGACCCTTTCATTTCTCATGCCAGGAGACTACCGTATCTTCATAGTATATCGATATTGTGGCGCCGCGCTGTCATCGGGTTCAAACTCTCTGGTGTTCCATCGTTACCCGTAAGCAACACTACGGTATGATCTCCGGATGTTAAAGCGCCGTCGCGTTGCAGATGATGGACGCGACGCCGAAAGAAGATAAGGGAAGGTGCTGACACGGCAACTCCTCGCCTCAACCTCAGGTTTGGCGGTTTGAAGAACGCGAGTCAAGTTGTGCAATGCCTGCAAATGTCTCTCTTCGCAAGATTTGTTGGAATCCTTCGCTGTGTAGGACGCGATGCAGCCCTGGAGGCGTTCCAGAAGCGGGACAGAGAAGGATGCCAAGCCACTAACTAGTCAAGCGGGCCGCTGACGTGGTGAGACGCTCACGAGAAAACGACAGCTCGTTGACACGGCGATAGCCATACCTGGTGGACGAATTGTGAGTTGCCACCACGGTAAAAAACGGAGATCAGATGAAAGCGATGGAGCTGCATCCTCGCTCGTGCAGATGTCACAACGAACGGCCCACCACCTCGTTGGTTCGGCAGGGCCCCGCATCCGCGGATCCATCTGCATCACGCGCACAGACATTCGACAGAAGCCAAAATCAGGAGGCGGTGGAGAGTTTCAACGCGCGTCAAAAGCGCGAAGTTCCCGCCCCTCTTCCCGTTGCATTCCCGTTGGACCCACGACTTCCATTCAGGTACCAACGCAAACGAACCGTGAAGAAGACAGCACTTGCAGCTTTGAACCTGTCCAGACAGCATCATGCCAGTGGACGAGTGGACTCCTAGTAAAATCACGTATGACCCACCCGAGAAAGGTCGCTTGGGGTATTCCGATCCCGTAGAGTGAGCATCTTGCGAGTTGTTCCAAGAGCTCTTCAGCTGATCTCTTCCTATAGATACCATGACGTGACCGAACAGCAACAACCACACGTTCCCGCAAAGCGCGCCCGCCCTACGGAGCAAGAATTCTCCGTAAGGAAGAAGCGATTCTTCGACGATATACGACCTCTCCCAACCTCCCCGAACCAACACAAGTCCAAGAACAACTCCCGAAAAGCATCCTCCAGCAATTCGAAGTCGCGGTCAGCGTCTACCACCAAGCAGCGAGTGCACGTGGACCTTACCCAGGATGTAGACATGGAAAGCGTTGATGGACGTGTACCAGAAAGCATTGATGGCGGTGTTCCAGAAAGCGTTGATGGTGGTGTTGCATTGAGCAATGTAAGCGTTAATGGAGGCGTTTCAATCCCTCCCTCTGAAGCCGCTATGGACATCTCGTCTCCTGTATCTTCGCGTGCGGCAATGCAATTCAGAGCCGAGCATACTGAACTTCCGGAAACACCACTACAATCGAGACAAGACAAGGGCAAAGGCAAGGCTACTGAGATGGCGCCACCTCCACGGTTGCCCACGCCGGACTCCGAGGAAACACATTCCCCACCTCATCAACCTACGGAAAGTGAAGTCGGAAGGATTGTCTACGCTTACCTTCGCGAACTTGGGCTGGATTTAATAAACCCGCAAAAGAGTTTGGCGAAAGCCTTTGATGCTCTAAGGAAAGAAATGGATGAGCCTCTAGACCTCAAGAAGTGGTGCTTGCCGGCAAGATTCGACAAAGAAGGGACAGAAGTTCCGTTCAGTGGCAAGCCATTCTTCCAAGTCCCCTTGAATATTGTCAATGAGCTTTCGGATGCGATTGCACAGGGAAATTTCCTGGATGGAGAGTGGGCGCCTTTATGGGATGCCTTCGAGGAATTCTATCCCGACAAGCTGCCCGGTGCCAGGATGAGGGCAGAGAGGGAGGCTGCAAGTCAGAGTGCTTCTCAGCAGGTGCCACCACCAACGCAACCGAGGGCAATGAGGGATAGTGCGAATCATGGAGCGGGGCCTTCTCAGCAACCAACACCGTCAACGCGACCAAAGGCAAAGAAGCGTGCAAGAACTGCTCGACAGTCTCCTGAGCCGGAAGAACTTCCATACGGCCCTTGGCTCACCCGTTGGGCTATGAGTTTGGGCCCAGAAGACTTCACGTTCCCTGGAGATTGCCCATGGGCATATAAGAAAGTCGTTAATCTGACCCACGAGGAACGGGTGGACATTGCGATGAAGTACCACAGCAAAGAGCTGACCGACATTATCGGGAGAAGGCAGTTCAACTGGTGCAAAGCAGCGCTTAGATATCATGGCTTGATTCGCTAGGGGACATATCTGCGCCAGAGCACCTGGATGTATGTCAACATGCGAACTGCATGTACGCAAAACTTGCTGGAAGCCTGATCACCATCCTGGCAGTTCCCGAAGGCCGACTCCTTCGCTGAACAGCTTCTCCGATGAGTCTGTGCTGGGTCGAGGTCGAACTAGTGGTTGTTGCAACGAGGCGGAGCTAGCGGTCAGGACCGTGCAGCGCCTGATTGTGGACTGAGGCCTAGTAGAGGCAGGCATGGTTGGAACAGTTCCCTATGTGAAGCCAATGGAGGCATTCTTGGCAGAGTTGCTGCGCGGATGAGCGGCAGCACGAAAGAGGCGGCGAGAGCTGGATGTTGCTGTCGGAGAGGCATGACTGTGCCCAGCAGGCGATAACGAATTTCATTGAATGATGATCTCTTGCTTTGGGATGGTGTTGTTCGTGTCTCGCTATCATTTACTAACTTGATAGATAGGCCGTCATCTTCTACTACATGTTCGAACTTGTCGGCAAAGTCTCCAGATTTCTTGTGTTGACTGAGTCCTGTGGAGAAGCGCCGCGCTACGCCATCAGCGAGCAGCTTCTGTAGTACTGGGCCCGCCTCCTATATCGTCGACCAAGCATTGTCTATCGGCATCATAATACCGCTGATCGTCTTTGCAGCATCAGACGCAAGGAATGCAATGCCCTGTGCAATATCGTTCGGGCCCACTGATCCGTATGGCAGATCGTCTCTTTTGAGACCTTGGCACAACATCTGCACGGGGCTGCGAGCTTGTCAGCGATGACAGGGTACCAAGGGCTGTAAACCCTTACTTGTACATTTCCATTGCAGCCTGATCGACGTCCTCTTTCACCACAGACGAGCGGATATTGGTCGGCACGGCTGAAACTCCTATTAGAATAAGATCTTCGGAGTTCAAGGACTAGACGAGGTCCTCACCGCCTGGGAGTACGGCATTACACCTAATACCGTCTTTGCGAAAGCGCCATGCGACGTTCTTGGTCGCACCGACAAGCCCATGCTTACTGGCTGTGTATGCGATGCCTGCCACTGCACCGGAAAGACTTGCATAACTACCAACATTGATGATGGCACCGCTTTTCTGGTTTTTCATACTGGGCAACACAGCCGCCATCATTCTGACCGGTACTGTGAGGTTGATGGTAAGGACGCGCTCCCACTCAGAGTCCTTGACTGTATCGGCGCTGCCAAAACCATCCATGATGCCTGCAACATTAGCCAGCACGTCGATCTTCGATCCGTACTTTGTGATGCAAGCAGCTATGGCATCTTCTGCTGAGCCGGGTTTGCAAAGGTCGGTTTTGTGGAAGGTGAATAACGCTTTCTGGGTGACATCAAGGTCTTGGTCGAACGGCGACATATCGATGCCGAAGACTTGGGCTTTCTGTGATAGGAAGAGGAGGGTCGTCGCGAGGCCAATGCCGCTGCTGCAACCCATGATGATGACAGTTTTGTTGTCGAAAGATGTCATTGCGATGAGTATCTTCTATGTAATATTTTGACTGCACATGCCGCTCGCAGCAACTGGCGTTTTATGCATGCCTTGGATCTGTTCTTATGGCTTTCGCGAACACGTAAACACCGTATCAGAAGTTCGTCCTGATTCATATGTCCCGCAATCTAAATGCACACGAGATCAAATCGGGCTATTTGCGCGACCCAGCTGAACAGCTGGCCAACCAGAAGCTTAGCCGTTCGGGAACGATGAAAGCAGGTAGCATCGCCGAGCTTGGAGCGCGATCTATGGGGGCATTCAACCGACGTTGCTATTGCGTTCGCGCAACGACAGCAGAGATACTCAGTGAGTCCATCTTTGCATGAGGCAGAAGGCGATAGCCCAGTACTTTGCGATTGGCATACATCGCGAGCGTATCCAAGACCTCATCTGCATTTGCATGCAACGAGCAGGTATAAGCGACTCATTAGAGTGGCGGCTGTATGCGGGAACAGCGAAACGAGTTATGCTTTTTCGACCTTTGCTGTGTTCCATGCCGACGGAGTTGTACCCGGGAGGATGCCCTCCGACAGCGACTGCTACGTACGCCAAGCTTCCCCAGGTCGCAACGCGTCTGCGCGCTCGAAGTCGCGTCACTTCCATAACTCCCACATCCTGCATTGTCCATAGTAACGATGGGAAATCTTGACAACTATCCTTTTAACTTCGAGTTCCCTGTAGGTCCGTACGTTGACAAAGGACGGCGTTTTCGGTCTTGGACGTTGTATGACGTCTTCTCAGCCGGTTCGTACATACCTTCCAATGTCTGCATCGCACTGACAAGCGAACTTAGACATGCCCGAAGAGGAATTCAAGGCTCTTGTAGACCTGCACTGTGCCGTCAGTCCGGATGTCTTTTACCTCATAGTCGACAATAGGTTCAGAAATACACTGCATTTCCTCAAGATGTGTTTGGCTCGCGATTTGGATTTCTACTGGGATATACGGCACCATACAACAAGCCAGAAGCCACTGAAGAAATACTTCGACAAGATTTTCCTGCCACGTCTGCTTCACATGATGCGGAACTTGGCCACTGAAGCTGTCCGTTGCTGGGATATGGCAGTAGCGTGGTATATGACCATGAAATTGGAGTTGTTACACAGCGAAGACATATATCTCGACAGCAACGCTGATGAGGATCTCGATTGTTTCTTGCTTGAATCATTTTACGGCTGGGACGGAAGAACACCCCGATATCGCCAGGAATCCTACTGCAGGCCGATACCGTTTGTCGGTGCCGCCCGGATGTGTGGATATATCCGAGAATGGGTAAGAGACATGCATGGTTGTCCCATCCACGACAAGTCCGAATGGAGCCCTGAGAAGTACGGACCTTCTGGGTATGCCAAAGAGTCCTGTATGCAGTCTCAGTTCGTAGCAGCCTACAGCATCTTTGAACGCCAGGCTTATGCCGAAACCAAAAGAAAAGTGTATCACGTCATAGGGATCAGGTTGCCGAGAGAGCTTACAGATATGGTGTTTGATTATGCTCTTGTGGCCGAAAGCATACCCAGGGATCTCCCGACGTATGATGAGTTGGAACCCGACTTTGAAAAATGCGGAGAAGGTGCGTGAGCGACAAACAAGGAGTGGAATTGAGGAAAGCGAATCCAGTGGAGATGGTCGGCGACGTCACTTGGGAGATTGTTCGGCGATAAGTCGCAAAGCGAAGGGGTTGCATTTTGATACTGACTGGTGCTTGTATTGGAGGAAGATCTGCGCTCCACCATATCGAATGTCAGTCTGCAACACAATCTTGCCGTCAATTGAGATGTTACCTGTCTTCAAGTTGCCCGGAGACGCCGAAGGTTGGCCAGCGCATGCTCCCAAATGAGATGTGCTGAACAAAAAGAGGAAGGCTGGATCTGACAAAACGTCATCGTCGTCCAAATTCTACTCAAAACGTAAGCTGCACCGAGATCTGGGTGGGGAGTGGAGCAGCATGTCGCACAACAGCTGCCAGAGCTGGCCGATCACATGCTGGAGTATTTGTAAGTATTTTGTACTCGGCGAGCAGGAAAGGTGAATTTTCAAGATGACGTCCCTGACGCTAACAGACGGTGTCCTGCATAATCGGGCCTTTTCCATCGTAGCTACCCCGCATGTCGTCACATTGAGCAAGGTACTCTCCAGTGGAAAGCTATCGAACTTTTCATAAAAGGTTTAAAGACAACGACTCTACACACCGATTCATCAAATCAAACACATCATACCTTCAAAATGTCCAAGCCAAACATTCTCTTCGTCCTCACCTCGCACAACAAGCTCGGCGACACCGGCAAGCCCACCGGCTGGTACCTGCCAGAGCTCGCGCACCCCTACCACGTCCTCCACAGCAAAGCCAACATCACGGTAGCATCACCCAAGGGTGGTGAATCACCCCTCGACCCCGCATCCGTCGAAGCCGCGAAAGACGATGTATCCGTCAACTTCCTCAAGAACAACGAGCAGGTCTGGAAGGCAACCCAGAAGCTGAGCGACTTCAAGGGCAAGGCGAAGGACTTCGACGCCATCTTCTACGTTGGCGGTCACGGGCCCATGTTCGATCTAGTCGACGACGAAACATCGCAACAACTCATCAGGGAGTTCTGGGAGGCGGACAAGATCGTTTCGGCTGTGTGCCATGCGCCCGCTGTCTTCTACGATGCTAAGCTGAGCGACGGAAGTCTGCTTGTCGCTGGCAAGGAGGTTACCGCATTCACAAACGCTGAGGAGGAACAAGTTGGCCTCTCCAAGGTCGTACCCTTCCTGCCCGAGGATGCGCTGAACAAGGCGAGTGGAGGCAAGTTCGTCAAGGCAGCTGAGCCTTGGGGCGAGAAGGTCGCCATCTCTGGTCGCTTGATCACTGGACAGAACCCTACCAGTGCCACAGCAGTCGGAGAGGCTATCGCAAAGGCATTGGGCATCTAAGGAGGAATCATCAAATGTAAATAAGGGCCATATAGAACAATCTCTATCATGATTATACGAATGTTTTTCATTTACGAAGGGTATTATATACACCCAATCTAACATGTTTCTCGTGATTCTCCCTTCAAACTACTTCTCCTAATCTAGGCCAGTTTATACGTACATGTACGTAACTTCTGTGACGGTCTCGTAGACGGTGGCTGGTGGGCAAGCAGCGGCAGGAGCGGAGTGCTCTGGTGCCATGGTGGTGACAGGAGCGGGAGCAGGAGCATGTGACTCTTCAACAGGCGCGTGAGAGGGCTCGACAGGCAGGTAGGTAGTCTCGTAGGGCTTCTCAGAGGTCATGAGAGTGCTGGAGGCATGCATGGTGGAGTTGCCGTACGGGACGGTGGTGTTGAGGTGCTTGTGAGGGATGGTGATGGGGTATGCGGTAGCCGCCTCGGAAGTTGCGGTGGAAGTAGCGTTCGCAGTGGTGACAGGGATGTATGAAGAGATCATGGTAGATGGCTTCATCATGGTGGTGGTAACAGCTTCCTTGCTGACAGTCAAGGCCTCGGAAGAGGCTGGTACCACGACGGTGCTTGAGGTCTCGACCGGTGCGACAGTTGAGGAGACCTCAGGGGTAGGCGTAGGAGTAGCTGAGCTGACAGGCGCGGCCGATGAGGGCTTGACCAGGAGAGGTGTCAGCTTGCTCACGATCCAGTTTGATGCCTCCTCGGTGTAGAGCTCGAAGTAGTTCAGATGCTGAGCTACGTCATCTCCACCAGCGCAGACTGGGTCACCGCCGGCACAGTACGACCTCAAGACGGAGGAGTAAGTGTTCAAACGCTGAAGGTTAGAGCCGGTACGGCCCCAAGCTTGCTTGTCTGCTCCGTCGAGGACGTTGTAGACCTGGTTTGCAGTGTGCTTGACATCACCCCAGAGAAGGGCTGCCTTGACTGCCTGACCAGCTTGAGAGTTGGCATCGAGGCCGGTGGTCTTGGTGTCAACGTCGCAGGCATCGGCGCCTCCGCCACTCAGAGTAGCTCCGGCAACCATGGCACCTTGCGAGTAACCGTTGACGACGATTAAAGTATCCGGGCACTGGGCGTTGTACTCGGTGATTTGCCTGACCCCGTTGACGGCACCGTCCTGGATAGTAGGGCAGAACTCCACGCCGAGAGTGGCATCGAAGACGAGATCCATGTAATCGCAAGAGTTTCCTTGAGCCTCGAATTTTGCGCAGACGGTATCTCTGAAACCTGAGGTACGGCCATCGCTGTAAGGTGCGTCATTGCCGCGGGCCATGAAGATAGCGACATCGTTACAGGCTGCGGTGAGCTTAGGAGGAGTGGTGCCTTGGGCACGGGCAGCCAAAGGAAGAGCTGCAAGAACAGCAGTGGCGAGGCCCTGCTTCATGATGGTCGTGGAAGGCATATCGAAGTTCGTGAATAAGGCGTTGCGTGTTCGCTGTGAATCGCAGAATTTGATAGGCGAGTGGTATTAGAGATCGATAGATCTAGTAGCGAAGGTCGTGAGAGTGTGGAGTATTAATTATTAGAGAAGATATTATAGCATGGACTATATCCCTTTGATCTGATGTGTGGAGCGAGTGTCGATGGCCGAGCGAACGGACAAGTATTACACAAAGAGTAGAGCGTGATGGAGAGCGTGAAGAAAAGGCCTCAATCAACAGGAACATGCGACATGATATGCCGAACTGACTGTGGAGCCCCCCGTATCAAGAACCACCATCAGAGGCTCTGTGTAAGACCTTGGGGCGAACGGCCTCGTCGTGCAGGAGCGCATGCTTGCAAGCGCATGCATTTTGGAGGCTTCAATCGAACAGTCTGCGGCCCTAGCAACTTGGACTATTGTGTATCCACAGATCTCGTGTTCATTCCAGGTTAGCAGGGCGCCGCTAGCACAGGAGAGGCAATACAGTTCGCTCGCTATGACTCGTGCGGCATAGTCGGCATTACAACCACCGGCATTATCTCGTATCAGGTGTGAGAGATAGGATAAGGCTGCAACCGTTGACACCTCGTGTG